AGACTTAAATAGAAATTGAAAAGTCATAAATAATTATAGAAAATGTAAAATATCAATGAAATTAAAGTTTTATTTTAATGCGAAGTAACATTTTGTTAGTTCCAACTATTTGATAATAAATTAATAATTAATTTGAGAAGTATTGACAGTATGCAAAAGTTGGAGGTTAAAACTGAAGTGTCAAATTTGAAAGTTTTGACGTTGATTGACGTGTGAAGTATGAAATTAACTGAATTTACAAAGTTCTATTTAATTCTGAAGTATAATTAATTATTATGGGAAATGGTTAATTTTAATTAAAAAGTTTGACAGTATGCAAAATTTGGAGATTAAAACTGAAGTGTCAAATTTGAAAGTTTTGACGTTGATTGACGTGTGAAGTATGAAATTAACTGAATTTTCAAAGTTCTATTTAATTGTGAAGTATAATTAATTATTGTGGGAAATGGTTAATTTTAATTAAAAAGTTTGACAGTATGCAAAAGTTGGTGGTTAAAACTGAAGTGTCAAATTTGAAAGTTTTGACGTTGATTGACGTGTGAAGTATGAAAACAACTGAATTTTGAAAGTTCTATTTAATTGTGAAGTATAATTAATTATTATGGGAAATGGTTAATTTTAATTAAAAAGTTTGACAGTATGCAAAAGTTGGAGGTTAAAACTGAAGTGTCAAATTTGAATGTTTTGACGTTGATTGACGTGTGAAGTATGAATTCAACTGAATTTTCAAAGTTCTATTTAATTCTGAAGTATAATTAATTATTATGGGAAATGGTTAATTTTAATTAAAAAGTTTGGAAAGACAATGTTCGGGTATTTCAATAATGGCAGTTACCCTTATTCAACCAACAAGAAGTAAGTAAACCAGTTATAAATTACGTGAAGGGATGCGGTGGGACGTCGGGCGGTATTGATTCGGTTGATTTATTGTTAAATTTTAATTAAGAGACGCCGGGTTTAGGTTGAGGAGTCGGTGGAGGCTGAGGCGTAGGAAGTGGCTTCAGTGGCCAAAGCTAAGGCTAAGTGTTTCTTGCCATTAGCGCCGGTATAATTATAGTTTTTGCCGCCTCCCATCGACTCAACCCAACCAAGCCTCCCGGTGTTACGTATTTACCGGATGCTGTTGCGGTCGCAGCACCGGAAGTGGAGCCCTAATTACCACGGGAACGTAATAATATTAATGCAAGGAACTATAAACAGTGGAGCGGAGCGTAAACCAACTTCGCCTAGGCTAATTATCCTACGAGGCACGTGCACATATATTTTCCCAAGCCAACGTTCGAGTGAAATATTCATATTTTAAGAAATTTCTTCCGCTGCTGCAAGCAAACATGCAGAGAGCATACATTTATCATAAACATTCGTATTCTGTGCATTTCAAGTAACAATTTAAACTAATTATTCAGTAACAAACATTTATTATGTTTGTTTAAATTTCAGAATTTAATATGAATAAAAATAAAATGATATTCTCGAAAGTTCCCTTTGCACCGATTTGCGTCAACCTTAATGTACAATATACATGCACGCTCATATTTAACGTCCGATGGTAAATATTAAATTTTTATGAAATTCCGCAGGATTTACGATAATCCCGCGCAGCGATTATAAACGTTTTTTTTTTGCTAAATTTTATTTTCATAATTTAAAACCTCTAATAAGTCAGATTTAATGGGCGAATTAAAAAATAAATCACTCGTCCCTTTTTGCCGGCACACACAAAACACGCTTTTTCCACCCACCAAAATCGATACGTTAACACACACACACTGCACATGTTTTCACCGGAAATTTTGAACATTTACAGCCAATTTATCTTCGACGCTTAAAAAAAAAACAAACTTGCAATATTTTCATATAAACATGCAAATGGGATGAGTTTTACATGAATGTTCTGTTCTTTTTTCTTCTTCTACGTCCTTGTTGTTATTCGCCGACGTCGTCCTTAGCCTAGTGGCGAAGGTTTATTTCTTTTTTTATATATATATTTTTTTGGTAGATGAAACGAGGACGTCCTGGATAATTTATTACAGAAACTCTTGGAGTCACGTCAGGAGTTTTCAGAGGCGGACCGGAGTTTTCAGTGCACGAGGAAAAACTTAACGTGGGATGGGCAACAACGTAGAGAAATAAAAAAAAAGTGAAGGAAGGAGACGTGCGGGGAGGTAAAAATAGAAAAAGTGATGCAGAGGGTGGAAAGATTCTGGACGTGCGAAGGACCTAGAGAGATGGAGAAAAGTGGCATTTATGATGCCCTTGAGGGTATGTGGAACTTGCAGCAACAGATATTGATTTCCGGATGGCCGAATTCCGAAGAAGTGGAAGAAACTAGTTGCAAAAGTAATTAATTTTATATTCGCGCACCGTTTAATTCAATTGTTCAACACGATTGCGATCGCATCTAGACACCTGTCCGCTTGTTTTCTCTCCATTACTGAAAAAAAAACGTATCCATGGAAACCGTAAACTTGCATTTCAAGGCAATAGCTGAAATTGATTTTTCCAACTGACAGATAACTTGTTTTGTGAAAAAGAAACATCTTTGCAATTGTTTCTTTTGTGTTCTGAAATCATGTTTTAATTAGAACTTTTGATTTTTTTGCATTATGCAGAATATTTGAAAAACCCTAAACATTTATGTACATTTTAAGATTACATCAGAAAAGGTCATATCTTGAGGATATTACTGCTTTATGTACTGTTAATTAAAAATGATATAACGATTTTTAGATTAAAGTCTTCACGTTTTATTAAAGTACTCGAGAACTATACATGTTAATTAGATAATTAAATAAGCGTATTAAAGACAAAACTATGGCCTTTGTAATTTTGCAAATCTGCTCTAAGTTGAAAACATAGAGAGAAAAAAAGTTGTATAAAAAGCTGTATGCAAAATATGAGTCAACTGTTGCTGCACATTCCCGGATCAAAGGCATCCCCTTTCAATCTAGTGCAGTTGACAGGAAGTCGCATTCGTCTAATTATTTCCGGTGACGATTCCGGCGACACGGAATTATTAATTAGCTCTCCTGAAACGGCGCCAAATTCAAAAGCGATAGCTTTTGAAGCCCCGTCACACGAACGGCACTCTGCACTTTCACAGAATTAATTAAAGCGACGACAAAGAGCATTTTCAGAAGCACAATAGTTTTTGTTCTACGTGACATTACGCAAATTGTAAACACAAAATCATAATAAAACAAAACTTTATTTGTTTATTTGATTGTCGTTTAACAGATGGATTATCGGAATTCCCGGTGTTTATGGGGAATTACCGTTCGATACCCAAAATATCTTGCATAAAAAAAATATTTTAATTCTTAATTATTTGCATAACACGGTGGCCTTGATACATCGCACGCAGATGTTTCAAGAGGAAGGTTAGATAATTGATCGCGTTTCTGCCAAAATTCTCGAGCACGAATTAAGTAGCTATAGGAAAATCACTGAAGACTTTATAGTTTTTTTTCTGTACATTATTGATGATGATGATGTTAATGACGTTGAATCAGCACGTACTTCACTCGCCCGTTTCCCAATTCATTCCATATTGCAATTATAAAGCAATTATCAGCTTTTGTTCCACGATTTCTTTATTCACCAAAGAGCCCGAACGTTTCAATGAAATGCCTTTCATTTTCTATTTCTTCCTCATTAAAATAATTATTCATATACTTTTTTTTCCTTGCTTTTTTCATCAGTTAAAATAATTATTCTACAAAGATATTAGTTTTAATTAAAAATAATTAAAAGTTTATGATAAAATATTTCAGTTATTAATTTGAAATTATTAACAATCCCTTTCAAGAGACATTCGTTACGCACACAAAAAAAATA